ACTCTACCCTGCTGCCCTTCTTCAGCGGTAAACGCGGCCTACACATCTTCGCATTTTATTTATTCTGCTGATATTCTATTCTATGTTCGAACTCTGGCTATTAGAGCTCGTGTTCTGCCTGGATGCTGGTCGATCTTGCTAACTTTATTCCGATTTTTTTGGTTAGTGCTCTCTTTTGTTATTTGTCTCATTTGAGGCATTGTATAGGTATTCTGTTTTATCTCGCTTGTTGACTCTATTTCTTCAAGCGCTTCATATGTTCATGTTTCAGGAGGGAATGTCATTTTTTGACTATTTTGACTCGTCTTATCTATTAATGCTTTTGCATTCTACGCTACTCGTAAGTTTAATGCTGTTGTTACTATTCAACGCAACAGTGGATATTGGAGAACGTTTATGGTGAGTTTCAATGAACATTTATTGCTTCTTGTTTCTACCTTTTGCTTTTCTAAATCTTACTGCTTCTTTTGAAGTTCGTTCTGTGTATTGCTTTCATATATGTCTCTCAGTTATATTCACTTGAGTTATCTCCTAATGACGTACATATGCGGCAGCATAGAATTGAATTGAGGGAGAACGTTTACGATTCTACCCCTTTTCACTTTGATGCTGCTTTGGAGATGAATTCACAACTTTTCCGCTAATGCCCATTATTTTGCCTCTCAAATTTGCAGCAGTAGTACTCGCCTCACCTTTACGCCGTTTTATATTCAAATGCCTTCTTTACGAACTCTTTTACTTCAACAACTTGATTCACTGACCACATTAATTCAACAATATGGAATATTTCAGCGATAAATCTTCATTTCTCATGTGCCTGTGCTTCGACTCGCAATCTACTTCACTGCTTATTCAACCTAGAAGTCTATCAATGGTGGCTCAAAACAGTCCTTTTCACATCCCAGTGGACCAGCTTAGGGTTGAATAGCGGGAGAACGTGTACGATTCTACCCCTTTTCACTTTGATGCTGGTATGGGCAAGAGGTCCTTTCTGGTTGATTTCTGAGTAATGTCTTCTTTCATTCTATTTGTCTCTCCTATTCTCTCTTTTGCTTCTAAAGTTACTTCATGTAATTTATTCCGAAGCTCAAATCCAAGTTAAATAAGTACAAGAAAGAAAGTTGGACAATGTCGGCCTTCCCCTATGAAAGCTGAAGAAGAAGAAGCTAGAAGTTGACGATATGGTAAGAACCTTTGTTCTAATCACCTCTTTCTCTGATTTCACAATGGCTACTTCGTTGTGGGATCAGAGCCTACCGTACCTCCAATCCGATTTCAACACTACCATGTGAAAAGTCACACTTGTGAGTTAAAGGTCTTATACTGCCGTTGATCTGACGCTTCGGCTACTCCGATCTCATTAGTTATTAGTTACTCTCTAGTTATTTGTCATTTCTTTTTTTTTTCATGTCGTGAATGCTTTATGCGTTTATTTTGTGTCCATTTAGAAAACTATCGTGAATATGGAGTCCAAACGATGTGACTGTTTTATTTGTGGTAAAAGTATGAGCAAACATAGTATACTGGAGCATCTACACTCTATACACAATCTTTCACCCACGTCTTCTAAGCAAGTCATGGCACAGGCCAAGAAGGAGGAACTTGAGAGCGGAGGGAAGCAAACGCATACCTGCAACGAATACGGAAGAATTTTCTCATCGAAGAGGGGCTTCCAGATCCATCAGAGTTCTAAGCATTCTACCGCATCAGGGTCTGCCATGGTCGAAGAGGAAGAGAGGGGCGATGTATCGCCACAGTGCTGCCTTTGTGAAGAAAACCCATGAAGAACTAAGTCAGCACTGTGGAATTGATCACCTGAATGACGGGGCCATGGGAAGACTGCAAGACTACGTTGTTCACAATGTATCCTTCCAGAGCTCGAAGGACTTTGAAGTAAGTACTATGTAAGATGCAAATTTTCAATAGAAGAAGTTCATTTAGGAATGGATGAAAAGAATGTGCAACCTGAATTGTACCTCATTTTTCCGCAAACCAAGCAGAAAAGGCGGAGGACTTGATAATGCGGTCTGACCATTACAGCTTGTTAAACTCTTTATACGTTTTCCTGATTGGTAATTATATAGGTGTAGCCGATGTGGCGAAGGTGCTTCGCAAGGAGAGCGTCGTATGCGCGCTAGCATAAAAGTGCATTTGTACTGCTCAGCCTTTGCAAATGTGCGCTTTAAAGAAGATGGCACAGTGAGTGTGGTAGCCTGCTTCGGCCACATAGGGCACGACCTCGAACCTGCCCTATTACGGTGGACAGATGAACATTTAGAGTATTTGAAGCACATGATCCAAGGTAGATGGCGCTATTATGACGTATCACAAATGTATTCAATCACGATTGCACATTCCAGAATTTTCCACTGACTACATTATACAAAAAATGAGAAAGGATTACGAGATCAAGGAATGTAAGCTCTACTTTGTTACGAAGAAGGACCTCTGGAATGTTATGACAAAGTACAAGCTGACACAAGGATTACGTGACAGAGATGATATTACTTCACTTGTATCGGGAGAGCAAGAACGAAACCCAAGTGACGGAATACGTTTTTTCAAGAAGCAGGACGAACCGAGTGGAAAGGGTTTTGTTCTTGGTTAGTCTTGTCACGATATAAAAGAATTGCGATGTTAGAAGGGCCCCATTACAGTGATCATCACACCGCGCCAGCAAAGATGGCTGGACCAATTTGCGAGTAGGGGAATTGCGGTTGATGACACCCATAATGTGACGAAGTATGCATTGAAGCTTGCAACAGTTATGGTGATTGACGATCACGACCGTGGACTTCCTACAGGTATCTAAGATTGTATTGCATTTTGCTGTGGGTAATCATTCGAATTTTAGCATTTTTGTTGTCGGGTGAGATGACATCGAAGAAAGTGAAAATTCTTTTTGATGAAATAAAGAAAATCGTGCCAAATTTTGCTCCAAAATCACTGCTCTCTGATAAAGCCCTCGCGTTCTACAATGGCTTCAAATCTTCCTTCCCAGATCGGTAGGTAGATCACTTCTTGTGTAGATTCCATATTCTGCAATCTGGAAACGAAAGACCAAGGAGTTTGTGAAGGTAAAATTAATTAATCTCCAAAACGCCGCATATTTCTAACCAAGACTTTTAGCCAGAGCTTCAAAAAGGCATCGTTGGAGCCTTTAGGAACCTACTAAGAATCAGTGACGAGACGACGTTCCACGCAAGGCTTGGAGAAATACTCACGCACCTACGTCTGAAGAACTGTTTGCGCCTCATTCAGTACCTTCAACGGGAGTACCTCGGTAACAGAAGACCTTTTCCCATCTTACCTTCTGATACTACTCTTTTCATTTCAAGGGGAAGAGAAAATAAAGAAGTGGGCAGCATTCCGCCGACAAGGTGTTGTGATGTGCACTTCTATGTTCACGGAAAGATGGCATCTACGACTAAAACAAGAGAAGCTGAAGAGGAAAGCGAATTCAAGAATCGATTACGTGGTGGACACACTGATAAAGGCCGTGGAAGAATTGGCGGCGGACTTCGAAATAAGGGTAAATAATCAGTTGATATCGATCAATGAAGGCAATCTACCCATTACAGGATCGTAGACAGCTAGTTTCGTCATATCGGATGAGAGAGAACAACATACAACACAAGCTCGCAGTCCGGTACTACAAGGAAAATTCTGATAAGATTCACAAAGTAGGAGACTTGACTTGGAATGTGGACAGCACAACATCCGGGACAGTGTATCGCATCGAATTCGATGGGCACTGCGTGTGTTCTCCCGAGGCTAGTGGTTATAACTCGTACTTTATGGAATATACTAGTTTATTTATTAATCATTACACATACATTTCAGGCGAATACCCACTGTTCTCGATGTCACGTATGTCCGTACTCCTTTACTTGTTCTTGCCTAAGTGGAGCGCTCGCGGGAGTAGCATGTCTACATGTCACGCAGTGAAGTTTTATAGTGCGTAATTGTAATTACAGTTGTCAGTTGCTGTAGTGACTTCTTTGCTTTTAGGACAGGAAGAAATTGTGCAAGAAGGACAGGAAGAGGTTGTGCGGGAAAGACAAGAAGAAATTGTGCAGGAAAGACAGGAAGAAATTGTGCGAGAATCGACTTTCATCGAGCTGCAGCCGGAACCGCGAGAAGTCGTGATGCTTCACTCAGAAAGGGATGCAGGGTCTATCCGTGATATTCGTGGGGAACTGCATGCGCTTCGTGACGATGTAGCAAAGGTCACTTTACTAAGCAATATCTAATTCGTTAATGTAGATATCCTTTTTCAGAGCTATACTGTGATCCATGCAAAAGTAAATTCTCTGGTTAGACAAGAAGATGAGGACGTCTTAGACACTCTAACAGCACTCGCTGAAAGATTGCGAGTGATTGCCGGCGACATAGATGTTCC